GCACATACTGTGTTTTACTGCACCCCACATGAAGGTACAGGGTCGTTACAGAATCACTTTTTAAAGACAAGTTAAATGCAGCATAAGAATATGCAAAGTTACCGTGAGTAATTGTATTCATAAGTCATGTTGCATCTACTTACTACTTTTTTTTTTTTTTATCCTGAGCTGCAGAAATGTTCTGCTGCTACACATGCATATGTGATGGGACTTGACTTGGTAGCAAAACATTTTCTTGTCTGTGTTAGGGATGAGCGACACCGAGAGCAAACTGTATCCCGAGTGATCCGCACCACTGATCAGCCGTAGCTATTTGTATGTGAGTCAACACACGCTTTGCTGTCTCTTTTGGGGAGGGCCAGTGACCCCATTATGGACAGGACCTGTAAAGAGAGGCATACTTTTCTTATCTGCATGCCCTTGGAGTACGCGCCCATTGATATGCCACCTTGACTCTATCTTCATGCCAAGATGCTTCCAATTATGCGAGCCGCTGGAGTGAGGCGGAGCGTAGGTTTCTGTACGATGAAAACTGGTCCATGGGTAATGTGATCCTGCTGCTTTTCCCCCCACAGGGATGGTTTCTGCTCATGGAGGGAGGATTAAAGAACAGCTATTTCACTACTCAACACTTCCAGGTTCACCACTTTCCCCCAGGTCTCATGACCCCATGAGGTAGACTGATCTATTTAGTAAATGGCTCATCGCTGGGGCCTGAGCTCTGCATGTACCTGCATCTATTACACCCAACCATTCAATACATCATATGTGGGGATTTTTGCTGTGACATCAGTTCCTGTGTCATTAATCTTTACTTGAATGCTGCTTTTAAGGGCAGGCGGATGTTGTCAGACAGCCGGGCGGAGGTGATGGTACAGTCAGGGCAGCCCTGTGACTGACAGCAGGCTGTCACTCAGCTGAAGTGATGAGCTCAATGTTCGACAGCCACTGGGAAAATGAGAGATGGATGGAGGGGAGATATAGTGTCTGACTCTTTATAGCCTTTGGAAGCTTCTTCACCTACCAAGATGTTTGTGTCAAACATAATTCTCATCTTTTTATGTCTTTTTCTTGTCAGGCGTCCTAAAATCCCTCTCCCTCTGTGTTTGAATTTGCACTTTTTATGCCTGAACTGTCGACCTATCCAAGACATGACAACAGACCAACAGTAATATTATACAGATCGTATCTTGAAAAAAATAAGCAAGCATTCAAACTTTATCAGAATTTCACTCTAAATCTGAAATACATTGAGAGTAGCATTTATACAGTACATTTCAAGTTGGAAAAAAACTCATTTGATAAACTGTTCGCCACTGTCAAAAGTTAAGGTTAGCTTTCAACCATTAACATTATGGTTTGATAGTGTTATATGATATATAGGAACTGGTACATTGCTAGCCAACATAAACATCGTTTGGGGTCTCTCACACTTTAAAAATCTTTTAAGATTTTGAAAACTTTTACTGTGTATCAGGCATTAGCCAGTCAGCATGGCGTATAGCTTTCAGAACAGAGAGAGTAATCTCATCTAACGACAAAAGCTAACTGTTAACTATAACATGGATAGTAACAAATCATTTAGTGCTGCACTGATTGTCACATTTAGCATTGCTATGTGCAGAGCCAGTGTGATGTTACCCCCAACACTCTTAAAAAATGTCTATATGGCAAATTAAAATGTATTTAAAACTAGTAGGTCTGATACTTATGAAGGTTTATTTACACTCAGATTTCAGTGGATACTTATTGCTTCTTTGAGACTATAGATTTTATATATCATATATTGGCCTTTTTTTTTTTTCTGGCTGAATTTCCATTCAATTCATATCTTAATATTTTAGTGAGGAAGTGCTCTTTGGTTCCAGAAGATGGCAGCACTCTTTACCGAACGTTGTTATAGCCTCTGCTATATAGTATAGTTTCCCTGCATTTAAAACTCTGCTGTGTAATTCATTGAGATCTATGCAGACATTGGGGGGGAAGTCACCATCTTGCCTTTTTTTTTTTTTTACCATAAACAACAGTCCTGGAAATGCTTCCCATTCCCAGCATGCTTCTCCTCTTTTTAATCTTATGAAAGGAAGCTTTAAAGACTAAAACATAGCTTGTCATACACACTGTGATTTATGAGAAATACGAAACACAATTCACAAAACTTCAGTCACTTCCACTTGTATTGCAGGTCTCCCTTCTCCTCCCTTTCTCCTCTCTCTGTCTCTCTCTCTCTCTCTTGACTTGCCCCACTCGTTCGTTCCCCCCTCTCCCTTTTTGCCTCTGCTCCACCCTATAATCACGCCGGTTCATGGCTCTCATTTGGAGTGGTATATATAGCAGTAATTGTCAGGGTGCAGTACGGAGACTGGGCAGAGCATGTGTACTCTCTCACAGGGCTGTTTTGCAATAAATCTCGTCGTACAGAGGAGAGGGCTGGGGGGGGGGCTGGGGGGGTATATGGGGGGTATATGGGTACGTGCACAAGCTCTTGCACACACATTAGACACATTCAGCTATACGAAATAGTCAAACAAGCACATAAAGAAGCAGATTAAAATGTACAAGCACCTAAGAAAAGGCATTGTGCTAATTTGCAGGCGCTCTCCATGCTCCTCTTAGTCATTATACCTCACTGCCTATTCATTTAGTCTCTGGATGGGCCAGACATGGAAATTGAACGTGTCTCATAATGTGTTCTTTACTAAACAGAATGGGACAATTATGCAAATGTGGTCATTATTCAGGAGAGCGTCTCCTTATCAGTAAACATTAACAATCCCAGGTGATGAGTTTGGCCCTCTTGTGAGCCACTGAAACACAATCACATACAGAACACATACTAAATAATGACAACAGGTGATCAGTTACCAAAGGAAACACTAATGAGACTTCTCATCAGCTTCTAAGGTGATGCAGTAGCAGCTCTTTGCCCTGATAAGGGGATGCAATAAAAGGCAGACATTCCTGCTCAATAATCTGACGTTTGATCAGAAAAATCCCTCGCTGTGTCTGTCTGCCTTATGAACCATGGAACACTGATTCCAAAAGAGATGACGGTATGCAGTCCATTTGTTTGTATGTGTGTTTGTGTGACAGGGGGGGGGGGGGGGGGTTGGTGGGGTGGAGGGAGTGCACTTGTAGCTTGTATGGACAGGTCTGTCATTCAGACAGCGCACACAGTCTCCATTGTGGAGCTGTCTGTGGTCCCCATCGGGTCAGGGTGGGGTGGCAAAGGGGGCCTCTCGAAAAAAAAACACGTGCTGCAAACAGGAAGTGGGCCTGTAAGGATAAAATGAGAGCTGCATTGCTGAGTGTTTATGGATGGAGTTTGGGCATATTTCCTTAGCTTTTTTTTTTCCCCTTACATCGCTTCTCTCTCCTGTTCGAGGTTTAACGCAAGATAGGGCCGCCTTTAGAGCAGATCCTTGACACTTTTATCTGCAAGTGTCATGAGATCATTTTGGCTCTTTCCAAAGTGGTGACTACATTTTTCATAGAACGAGTGATACGGCACCAGGAGCAAGCAGATTTATTTCTATATTCTTTTTTTCTGGTTAACAGGCTCAACAGATTTGACATAAACAGTTTCTACGGGCCCCATGTGGACAACCATTTGTGATCCACAAATCCACTACATGTTATCCCCCACTCTCTCCTCCCAACATTTCCTGTCTCTATTCAGCTGTCCTATCTATATCCTAAAGATAAAAGATAACAACCTTTAAAAAAAATAGGTAAGTAGGTTGTATCTTTTCAGTACGTGCGAGGCGATGATTAGTATTAAATATAATGAAATCAACCCCTGAACTTAAGTCAAAGATTGAACTTTACAGCTTTTTAAAACTCTCCCAACGAAGGGCTCGAAACTATTTCAAACATCACCAGCTGACATCAAATTAATCCTTAATATAAAATCATTCACAATAAATGTTAAGGGTATAAACAAACAAGAGTTGCACATTTTTTATTGTAATTCAAAATATTCAGTAATGGTGTTTGAAATATGTGTACTGTTATCTGATGTATTAGGGTTTATTTATTGTATTTTAAATCAGTTATTGCCTGTAGTGTTACTTGTATTTTGACACTGAAAGATGAATATTTAATCACACTGTGTGTGTAAAGAACCAGCTCGGGACAAGAGGTGAAAATCGGCAAAAGCTGAACTCCTGTGCAACACCTTAGTTACATCGGTATTTCATAGTCCCTGGTTTGGTTTAACTTTATTCCAAACAAAAAGGAAAGTTTTTAAGTCGTAGATAACCTTTGAAGTCTTCTGTACTTGCTTGCTTTATGAGTTTATACAAACAGTGTGCTGAGATTGCATGAAAGGATGCTGAATGTGTGTTAGTACACTCGGTGAACCCAGGTGCTCTGCTTTCAAGTGTTCCCTTCCTGTTTGCCCAGCAGCTATTTCATCCCAGCCAGTGACCACTTCACAGCCCCGCTGTTTTCTTTCTGGGTGGACATGTCAGCTATGATCAAATCAGACTTTTGTTAAGAGTAAATTTCCTTTCCAGACATAGCTGATTACTCCACCCTCCTCTACCAGATATGCTATGAATTTAGTCATTAATTCCTGGACACTTCTGTGTATTTTTCTTACTGAAATAGTTAGGCAGCGATTTCTCGGTTCCCATGAGAGGCGGTGTTTGCAAAGGATTAAGTAGCAGAAAATTGAACTGCTTGAAAAGGTTGGTGTTTGGGGAAAGCTTGGTTATTTTATGGGAAACCTTGAAAAAACAAAGTTACAGTATTTCACCACCCTTTAGGTGTCTAAAACCAAGAACCAAAAGTGCTTTAGGGACCAGTTGGAAGAATCGGATCAAATACTGCATTAAATATTTCATCTGCTCCTCTGTTGGTGCAGATAAAACCCACAATTCAAGGCACGTTTTCCAGCATCGTGCATTAACAAGAAGGAGGCAGGAAGCAGGAGACAGCTTAGTATGTGATGGAGTTTTATTGATTCACAGTAATGATGAATGAATGGATTGGGATATGTTGCTCAACTGAAATATGCTTTTGAGTCACCCAGTGTCAATCCACAGATATCCTCACTTTCCTCTAGAAGGAAGTGAAGCTTTCATACTTTCAATTTTAACCTGCAAAAATAAACAAGTGGATCACTTTCTATAAGCGTGCTGACAAAAAGAGCAGCTCCTGTTCATTTGGTGTCATCGTGTATATGCGTCACAGCTAAAGCTACAGCGACTCTTAATCACATGAAATGAAGTGTTGTTTTTTTACTCTTTAGATGAGGTCAAAGTCCCTGAGAGCACAGCTTTCTGTGAATGTGATTGTAGATAAGCACCACATAGCTCACACTCTCAGCTGTAAAGACTTAATAAAAGCAGAACTGGCCATGGAAAACTATGTCCCCGTGCTATGCCTACAGCATGGGTACAAATACAGTAATGTGATGACAGTGGTGAGTATGAACCAACTTCAGTTATGGAAAATAGTTTTTAAAAAACACACAAAGAACAGACAATTGTTATATGTCAAAAGCAACTGTACAAAAGGACAAAAAAAATATATCATTAAACACTTATTTCAGACCTTCAGCCCTATCCCGTAACATTGAATCTGATTTTTGAGTAAGTCAGCCTCCTGTGCGTTCAGGTGGGCATGATTATTAAAAAAAAAAGATTATTCAAGGAAGCTACAAAGTCATTTTTAGCCTTCTTTGTGGAGCCAAAATCACACAGCACAGTGAGGAGGAAGATCATTTGCTCAAGGAGTTAATTAATTCTACATTTGTCTTTCAAAGTGACATATTGTTTCCACTACTTGTCCTGGAAAGTGTCCATTGGAAAAAACAGTCTTAACAGTTATTTAACCACTGAGACAATAAGCCAAACACATCAAACACATTAATGTGGTAAAACAACATGATTAACACAAGTTCCATGTTGTAAAGAAAATGGAGCTGAGTCGTTGCAAAAAAGTAAGCGAAGAGAGTGTAGGAAATATAAATTTATAGATTTTATGCAGGCCCCGCTTCAGTTAAAATAAGGCCACTGTTTACTGTGCCGAAGCATGAATTGAGAGGTTTATTTTTTCTCCCAGACAAACATGTTGTTCTCGTTGGGCAGCTGAAGATGCCAGCTTGTGGTCGCTGTATGGCTGCCTACAAAAAAAAAGGCAGCTCTGCTAGTAAAAACTGCAAGTCTTTGTCCAAACTTCATCCCATTCTCTCTTTCTGTCTCCGACTTTCTGAATTCTTTTCTTTCAAACGCCGCCTCTTTCCCTAACTCCCTCAGAAACGCAGAATCGTTCTGGTAGTTTGTCTGAAAGGGGACACCCTGATTCTTGCTCTTACCCTGATTCCACGAGTTACAATTCCATAGTGTTTCTTCATAAAGCACATGCTATAGCCCTAACCTTAACCTTAAGTCTAACCCAAACAGACGTAATTAAAAGGCTTTTTATATGCTCTCTAAAGCCTGCCCGCCTGCCTACCACAAAACTGTGGTTTCACCAGTTTTCCCTCCCATCAGAGAGGCTGGAAGAGAAAATCTGTACAGTTACATTGGTTTTAATAACTCAAATAAAATATATGAACAATTATTCAGCTGCATAAAGATATTGTTCTGATACTATATCCAGTAACGACTGTATGAAATCACTTCTTTCCCTTGTTCATTAACTTGGAAAAACTAAAACAGTATAGTTAATTATACTCCAGCTAGCTAAATCTTTACTGAGCATGCTCTGTATGTGTAAAGAGTGAATAAATAAAGTTGCAGCATAAATAGAAAATTGCATATGAAAATTAAACACAGTTTAAGTTGTTTGTTCAGTTGAACACCATTAAAGTCAGTTTGGTGGCTGATTAAAAAAGTATGATGGGGAGGGGGGGACCAGAATACTGATGTTGAAAAGATAAAGTGCTTTGTTCCATAAAAATCATTTCACCTCTTCTAACCTACTGTAGATGAGAAGCAAAACTTTGAGCACAACTACACTTAAACAAATGTGTTTTTTAAAAGCCAGAGCACTTGTAAAAATATCAGACAAACAGTGAAAGTACACGACTCGACTGTTCCCCTGAAACTCAGTGAGGTTAATATGAGATACAGTATATTTAAAGAGCACCAATATGAAGTTATGTTAAAGAGGTTAGGAATTATTCAATAAGTTAGAGAAGGGTTAATTAATGCAAACAAAGCCAATTAGAGCATTTTTCTAAATGTACATCGTATCCCCTATTTGCAACAGAAACTAACTACATCATCGTTTTTTTTTTTTTGTCAGATTTTCATATATCACATCTTGAGAATATTTTTTCCCAACAGCGACTGGTTTCCCCAATATCTTATTTATGAACTATTTAAAGCAACGTTATAATCTTTCATGCGTATATTTTTGAATAACCCACTGAAGTTACAAGTTGTCCACATTCACAAAAATCAGTACAGTTAACTTAAAATCAATATCCGATATCTTCTTCCTTAAGTGGAGTGAAAAAAAACAAAAAAAACATGTGGAGCTGTCCGGCATCTGTTGCACTCTCGTCATGAACGGAGTCCTTGCAATGGTCGCTACTGTGAATCTTTTATGAATCTTTATCCACAACTGTGAAAGAGGAGAACAGGCGCCAGTTTGTGTGTTATTGTGGGTCTTAAGGTCCAGAGGGCCTTTGACCTCCGCCCACCCTGACAAGTCTCTGGGCCCCACTTGAAGACTGGGCCCTGGAACAGGCTACACAAAGTTGTTGGTGATTTGCCTCTGGTGCTCGAACAGGTCTTCAATCTCAGCACTGTATGCATCACCTAGAATGGGAAAAAGAACATGATTTGTCAGTGGTGGATAAGGTGAGAATCAAGACCATGTTAACATTACAACTTTTTTTCCTCTGATGTCAGCCTGCTGTGTACCAGGTAGTAAATTGTATAAATGTAATGTATCTGACTATCATGGTCTTGTACTGCTTTTGGATTAATCAGCAACTAAAAAGACCAAAATCAGAGAAAATCCAGAGGAACACTGGGCCTTAATTCAACAAATGAGAACCTATTTAACCTACCTCTAAAAAAAGATTTAATGGTTGTATTCAATCACTTCCTAGCTTAGTTTACGTTATGTTGGCTAGGAAATAAAGTCTGCAGATTTTCTCTATTCGTTGTCTTTTTAGTATTTGATCAGTCTAGAAAAGGTAAAATTATCATTATTTGTCAGATACCCTAAAATCTATACGACCTACAACCGTGAACATAATTTAGGTATAACGTTGTAACAGCTTTTGAATTATCACTGCGAGCGCCACTTCAGAGAAAAAGGGCCGCTGTAAGGTGAATATGGAGAAGTGACAAAGTGTCAAAAATGTTCTGTTCACACCTGCATGACAGCCGTACATGTAAGCCCTGTGGCCGTCATATTTGCACCGACATCTCATGACGTTGTTCATAAAGTCAGACTCAGCCATGTCCATCGAGGGGTTAATTTCCACCTGCAAAACACACAATGGAATAATAGGTATGTTGTCAATAACATGTGATTCCATATCATAACAGGCTAGCAGACATTTCTGGCCTTTTGACCGGAAGGTTGCCATTTTTTTATTTCCCAGCAATTATAAGAAAAAAGAGATCATTTATCACTTTGATATTCTGATTTTGTAACTCAGCACATGGTCAAAAAAGACTCGACCTCTTCTCTCTACACGCTGAAAAAGCTGTTACAATAAAGAACACTTGCATATAAAATTGTCAGAGGGCCGGGTATTAAACAGCACTCGTGGCTGCTGTTGTTTTATAGTCAATCTTTTTCTCATCTATAAAAAGCGGGATGACTTTTCCATACTGTATTCCCGTGTTGAAAGATAAACCCGCTGCACTTTCTCATAGACTTGATGTTGGAATAACCTTCACTTGGTAGCCTGCAGCTTTGCATTTGGACCGAGTAACGTGGTGGTGAACACTTGCTTTTAACACGTGTTATGCAAAGCGTGGAACAAAGTGGTAGTTCTTTGAGGGAAGCCCATCGTAAAATACTTTATAACTTGTGTGAAAACATGTCAGAAAGAGCCTTCTTCCCACAAAAAACATGATAACTGGCTTTATGAGAGGTTATGCAACTTCTGTGTTCATTTGTGGAATGTGGTTGATGCACAGCGTAGCTCCTGCAGGGGACAGATCTGCTCCTCATACCGACGCAGGTATGCAATAATAAGCACTGAATCAGCTTGAAATTAAAGTCTGTTGCAATGGAGTTGTTATCCATAGATGTGTTTGCATGTCTGCAATCCATCTTATTCTGAGGGCTGCCATACACTGTGCTAATAGTCTGTTATTTACAGAGCAGCTTCATAACTGCTGATACAACCTTTTTCCTAATCTGGTCGGGTGATAATACTGAGAAGTCATTTACTCTAATAGCTGCTCTGTAAACTGCAACACCCACTTTAAGTACATGTTACAGCTAACAGCTACAGAAAGAAAGAAGTCAAACGACACTAAAATAAACGGGGAGAACTTTTAAAAAAAAACTTAAAGTGAAAAAAGTCTTCTCTTTGAATTTTTGAATTACAGCGTTGGACCGGAGCGTGTGAGGCTTTCGCAGAGTGCCGGTTCGGTGGCAGAACGTGTTGCTCAGTGAGAAAGTGGCAATGAAAATAAAAACAGGGCAGGAGGAATTCCTTGGTGGCAAATTAGCCGTTTCTAATGGAAGGGGGGGACTAGCTGCTGTTTGACTAAAGGGAGGCAATAGTTAATTTGGGTAATTGGTGTGTTTCATTAGCAGTGGGTGGTTCAAGGGAAGGCCTGCTGAAACCTTCCTGTGAACACAAGGATCAGAACAGTTTGGCATCATCTGCAATTCAACAGATCAATGTAAGAACACAGCGGAGGAGAGCTGCACTTACAGCTGTTCTGCAGCCTTGGTTAAAAAAACTCAGCCTCCATTTGGCTTACTTTGTGTTTTCTCTTGTTTTTCTCTCTTGTTCAAAGTCAAACTTGGCTGTGTCCTCTTAGTGCTGGTCTCCTCAAATGACCCTGACCTTTTCACCGTCTGTACTTCTTTGAATATCACTCTTTCATTCGTCTTGACTCCGTTTCATTCCTTGTCTTTCATTCAATTTTTCACTTCCACATTGTGCTGAACCATTAAACAACTTTATAATTATACCCTGGTCAACATGCTGGAAATACATCCAGTCATCACATGCATATATATGTACATGTGTCTCGAGAAAATGTAATAAGTGCATCTTCAATAGAGAGTAGAGAAATGTAATTACACAGATTGAGTTTGACCTCTTAGACAAACTGAGTAGCAGCAGTAAATAACACACAGTGAGACATTTGTGGAGCGTGATTGTCTGTGTGAGATCTGAGGACGCTGCAAACCAAGTTGGGATCAGAAGTCTGAATGGGCGAAGAAGGATAATGGGAAATAGAGTCCTTGATGTGTTTGAGTTCAGTGCCACAATGACTCGACTTATTGACCGGGGTTGCAGTAATAACAGGCAGAGGGGTGGTTGAGGTGATGAGGCAGGGCGGGAGGTTTTTACTAAAATAGACAAAAAACCCAACCAGTCATGTTGAAATCCACCTTAAGAGCCTTTGATCATCTCATGAACTCAATCTTTGGCTTCAAAGGAGGATTTAAACATTTGGGAGGGATCTTCTTTTTGAGAGTTAGAGGAAAAGATTGCTCTACTTTTACAACTTGTATGCCATATATAAAGCTACAGCTTGCAGCTTTGCAAAAAGTCAGGAACCTCGGAGTAAGAGGTAGCCTAGATTTGATTTACTTTTTTTAGATTTCTATAGCCAGTGTGAAGATTTTTTGTGATTTTACATGTTGCTTTGTAATACACATTTTTTTACACTGTTATTGATATATATAGGTTTGCATTTAATTAACCTTAAAAGTTCAAATGATTGACCCAACCTGCAATTTTCTATTTGATTTTGTCACACATTCATCTGACAAAGATTTAAGAGGGATAGAAACATTGGGACATTTAGTATTCCTTGGCGAGATGCAAAGTTCTTCGAATATAACTCTTAAATAGGGATAAAAAAAAGGGATCTTGTACAAAATGCCAAACTATCCCTATAAACACAAAGTTGGTGTTTGTTATATTTCATGAAAAAATAAACAGTGAACTTTTCCCAAACTCCACAAGGGAAGAAAAGTGAAATATAAAACAACTTCTGACCTGGAAGATGTAGTCTCCTGGACGCACATCTGTGACGTCGACCCACTGACAGTCGATATCGTGGCGATATGTGTCCCAACAGCCCACAGAGATGCCCTGGTCTCCCATGTTATAGCAAGAGAAGCGCTTCTGGACTCCTAACACACAAACACACACACACACAGACAGATGACATTATCAATCACAACATCAGAGCTCATTTAATGCTTAAGAGCCTTTAGCTTCCTGAATTGTGTTCGACAACATATGAACGCTGCTTTTTCACATGAGCCATTTCACCCCTGATATAACAAGCAAATGGAGAGTGAACAAACAACAACAGCACTGATCTAATACATTAACCACAAAGTAACAGTCTAAATGGCTGCAGCTGAAATATTGATATTAATTTCCTGTCACTAATGGGACACAGTATTTTAGTGGGACTCATGAATAGTGAACATTACCATCAGGGCAGTACGTGTCCTCCAGACAGAAACTGGCCTTGTGTCCCTCTGCAACCCTCGTGCCGTTCAGAGTCAGCAGGTCGTAATGTGTGAACACCTCGATGCTGTGGTAGTGCCTGGGACGACAGAAGGGAAACTCCAGGTGAGAGTGTGTGTGTATGTGTGTGTGTCTGTTCGTCCATGAGTGTGTGCATTTATGCTAAGTGAACACTGGCTCACTATGGCTTGTAGCCTAATGACCTCACTGCTTGAACATGAGCGTGGGTGTCACCGTAACACCTCTCACAGACGCTTGTTTTAGCGGCAGCTATGTTGAGCTGTTTACTCATTGCGATTGAATGGAGGGCTTTGAAACTGGCGTCTATAGAAGTGATTTGTTGTAACAAACTGACCCGTGCGTGGGCCACCCTGTCCTTTGTATTACAGCTGACCTGTCCAAACTGGATTTCCACAGACACATGTTGCAGGGCGGCTAATGAACCTGGAGAGATGACAGCACTGTTGCAGGCCACCCGTAATGTACCGGGATAAATGTCACACAGCCGTCACTGTGGCTTCAAATGGCTCCTTCTTCTGTCCTGACGACATGCCTCAAAGTGCTCTCGTCATCTGACAAGAAGCAAACTAACTGAGGGGAGAAAACCGCTACACTGAATGGAATGTGTTAACAGTGAACCTGAGGACAATATTTCATCTATTTCAACTAATGGACAAAATGCTGCTGAGGCACGATGCCACACAAGGCCTCTTGTGTTTAATGCTTATGTTGCGTGCCGACCGCGTGTCAATCTAAATGGGCTCTGGCACTGAGATCACACTTCAGCTTGTTTTCTTTCCTGGCAGCAATTGAATGCAATTAAATTAAATATAACTTAAATTACTCAACGTGAAGGGAGCTATGTCATTAATGCACGTACAAGCTATTTTATACTTGGAACAGGTGTTTGTCAGAATGTTTTTGACAGCCTGTAAAAACTCACCTGCATCCAGGACACTCAAAACCACAGTTTTCTCACTTGGAACGTCGACAAGTGCAACCACAACACAACTTATAGTAAATATTTAAACAGTTGTTCCATCGCTACATCCCACTAACACTCTATGTTACACCTCCCTAATTCTTTCAGGGATGATTTACCTGTGACACTGGTGCCATGTCCAGCTCTCTCTTGTTGCTTTGGGTCTGAAATCGGAGCGACCCAGGTTCATGATTCGAGAGGAGAAGCGCAGAAGACGCCGGTGACCATAAGGCCAGTTCATCCTGGCAGCAGACGAGGACAGACAGTTCTCCTCGTTTGCACAGGTGAGCAGGTGGAGAGGTCTGTCTTCCAGGTAGGCTGTCTCCTGGACCAGCTGGGCATCCAGGACGAGGTCAGGTGCAGCTGAAGAAGATTTAAAGGTTAAAAGTTACGAGGGGATTCAAGCAGATTTAAGTTGAGGAGACAGAGGAGGTTGGTTGACTTACTGTCTGAACAGCTGACCCCAGCAGCCTTAGTTCCACCTCCTCGAGGACAGTGGACGTGGTTGTTTCGACGACATTGCTGAATGGAAAACTCGGTGCCCACACAGTGACTTCCACTGAGAATCACTTCAGCTGCATTTTGGTCACCAGTCCAGTACCAGGTCTCCTGTCAAAGGGAGGGCGGTATCATCGTTCATTGTCGGCATCATAGCTCATTGTCTTTCACAGTGAAAACAGGGGCTGGGACTATGGATTAGTCTCCATCCTTTCATCTGTTTAAACATCTGTTTGTTTATTCTTTCATCTATAACTTTGACACTGCTGATGGGTTTTTGACACATTTTCGACAAATGACCCCTCTCATCTGACATTTTCACAATTACACTAATTAGTTTAAAGGAGGGAGTGCTACATTGTTTTGTTTATTTGGGACATCATGCCCATTTTTCTTTTTTTTAAAACACTGAGAAACAACGTTTGAAAACAGTTGAAGGGGGTTTGTTGTTGCATTTTTCAAAATCCCCCAGTTAACGGGAGGCACGATAATCAGGAATCAAAATGACAAGCTTGCTTCAGTTATCTATGTTGTGTTGATCAAGCGTTCGGTTACCTGATGAGCGCTGGCAGCGAAGCCCAGTCCGAGCTGTCTGCACACCACCATGGCCTCGTTGATGCCCCAGTTTTCACTACACACAGATCCCCATCGCTTACGCCCTCCGATCTCCATCAGAACCTCCACACGGCCCTCTGATGGGACTCTACCACCAGCGAGCCGCACCTAGAAACAGATTTGGTAAAAGTGATTAAATCTTTGTTATTCATTAATGAGAGCTGATAGGTATATATTGTAATAGTGCAGTTTTCATACCGTGTTTTCTATGCCAGTTTTAGGGACGTTACAGCGTACTGATGCATCCTGGCTGTGTTTGAATGTCCACGGTTGGACTTCTTGGAAGTAGCAGTCTAGGATTGAGCGCTCTGATCCCATACACTGCACACTGTTCATATGGATAGGTCCAGTACCTGAAGAGGGAGGAGGAGATGAGGTTAGATTTTAAGACTCTGCTGACAAAAATAAAGCAAAAGAAATACAGAAACCAGAATAGCATGGACATAACTGCGGGGGAATATTTCCTGTGCACAGTTAAGGGCCACCCAGTGTAGACACAATGACATTAGCAGACTTTATTCTTCAAGGACACGGCACACATAAAAGGATCTGTATTCCATGATGTGCTTTCTCTACTTTAGTGTGAAACCCGACAATAAAAAGCTCCTATCTGACATGATAAAATGCTCCTACAAGCCGAGCAGCAGCGCCACAAACATCTACTTTGGGGATCTGTCACACCTCATCACACCCATTATGTAGCTCTAAGCAAAACAGCAACAACATTGTGTGTAGTCCACCACCCCGGGCGAGCAAACAAGCCCAAATCTTTGTCAACTAAATAAAAGACTTTCTCTAGTATGTTAAAAAAAAAAAAACAGATAAACTTGAAACAACATAAAAGATAATGGGAAGGATTTGTGAAAGCAAAGATCTGCTGCCGTACAGATGGTAGTACATGAAAACAAATTACAAACTTTAGCTTCAGTGTATTTCTAAAACAAAATGCACAAACTGAAATAAACAACCTTTAACCACATAATCCAGGGGAAAAAAAAGAGAAAACCCAACAAAGAATGGGTGAAAAAAAAATAAAACTGAAATGGTTGAGGATAGATTGCAGCCTAACTCAATCTGCCTGTGTTGGTTTTGGTAGATTGTAGGCCTGCTTGCATACTGGTCACCATGCGTGGGATCATACGTATGAAAAAGAAACATTTAAACCACTTCCGCCTCTATCTGCATGGTAAAGGCCACAAAGTAGATTCCCACTGTTTAAGTTATCAAGACAAACACAGGGGCCACTGTTTGAAATGCACAGTGGCATGCTGTATTTAAATCTCAGTTTGGGAAATCCACAAAAAAAAAACAAAAAAAAAAACTTCCAAGAAACTGACCACACACGCTACATGATCACAAACACACACAGGCATTCTGGGTGTTTTACTTCCGTGTGTACCTATAGCACATATAGTATACGTACTTTACAGTGAAATAACAATGTTGGTCAGAAACAGAAACATTGTCCCTGTAATTAAAGTTAGGTGATAAATGTAATGGTGATGGGAGTGACAGAGCTGGAAGATGGACTCTGAAACAAGATTAGAAAACATTTCTTCACTCTCATTCTTCCTGACTCCAAGTTTTCCAAATGATCAAAGATGAATTTCGACATGAAATGTCTGAGACTGACAGCAGATCCAGCACTTACATTGTAAATGTGCAGGCTTAAATTTTGGTATTTACAAGACACACTTTGAGCTCGGTCACCATAAAATTGGAGCTGGCAAAAGCCACCGATAATTTGTACAGATTAGAAAATTGACTTTCGAGGATGGAAACTGAATAACATGGGTCACATTCTTGTTGAGAATAGCACAAATAGTTGGTTAGTGGTTGCAAGGGACACCCTTTTTCTTTTCCGCTCTGAAATTACACTCCGCTTTTGGACACATTAATGTAGTGTATGTTGTTTTTTTTCTTTTTAGTGGAACTTCTCTTTCAATGCTTCAAACAAAGCTGTTCTGTCATCATGAATGTGTTTCTTAGCCAAGCGCTTAAAACATTTTAGTTTGTAAATAGATCGGTCTGTCTGTGGGCTTTAAGGCAGTGGGAGCCAACTGGCATTAGAATCATGTTTCTTTTGCAAATGGGATTTCAAGCTGGCTAACAAGGGGCAACCTACAGGCCTAAACAGGTTACCGGTAAGTAGACATGGAAGTGCCAACAACTGCAATTTTATAAATGGACACATGTGGCTGGCTGATAAGCAAAACAGCAAACAAATGATGTGGCTTGTTTTTGCCTGAATACAGAAAACATGGTTGTCTCCTGTCAGCTAGCGCCACAAAAAAGTCTCTCTGGGCCCACAGCAGCTTTTACTGGAAATATGATTGAACATCTTCTTTTTTCAGACGTGTCAGTACTTTCTGATACCATCAATGTGAAAATATTTGTTTCTGTGAAAATTGTATTATTTTAAAGAACATGGTATTTAAAAGTATCCTGGTATGGAAAATTTGACATATACTTCACTTATTCAACTGGAGGAGGTTGTGTGTTTCTCTGTGTGCGGTGTGTGTGGGTGTGTGTTTGCCTGTCGTTCTCATTAATTGCTTTCGTGCATTTAAGAAATCTGATCATTCAGACAACATTCAAAGGAAGGATATTTACCTGACAGACTGTCTACCTCACTCTGCAGCCAACTAGCCAGTTAAACAAAACCCTTATCACGTCTGAGCATCTCAAACATCACACACTCTCCTGTGAGGTCCTGTTGGTTTAAACGGCTCACTGGAAGATCTGATGGAGATCACAAGGGTTCTTTTCTCACATGCTGTCAAAAAGCAAGTGCACCTGAGCGTTATCAATGTAGATGCCTTTTAAGATATAGGAAATCCAAGAGTTTGCACACACGCTTACAACTTCAATGTATGAAGCACATTTTTCTTCTGAGTGAGAGTGCCTTCTACCAAAAGTCTAATTTAGGCCTTTACCAACGACATATAGGCCTGTGTTTATGTGGCCTAAGAACACATGGGAAATTATATGTCACAGTAAAATGTCTAAGGGACTGCATTTTATAGAAGGGAAGATATGAGAAGACTTTGAAGTGCAATCACTCTGCAATGGCAGTACATGTAGAAGTACAGTAAAGGATGGAGACACAAAAAGGGAGTACTGCACTGTATGGGTACAGGCGGATGTGAAAGGATTTCTCAGAGAAACTACAGCTTGTGATATTTTGAATAATTATGTGGCCGTGTTTTAATCGTGAAAGTGCAATGAACACAAGCAGAATATTTTAGGTGCAAAGGGTTAAGTTTGCACATGCCCAAGTGGTGTTAAAAAGTTGTAAACAAGGCTGTGATTCACTTGATTAGTGAGCGTCATTGCTCTCAATTAAAACCAGTATAATGTGTGAATAATGTGTGTGTGTGTGGATATTCTCTAGGAGCCAGGTGTCATTTGCATGTGATTTAATCAAGGTAAACACAGTGGACCGCTGTTCATTATGGCACTGTGCTCTCAGACACATTTATCAAAATAACTGTCCCGCTGCCTGTAGGTGACTGCAGGAATGAAATGAAGCTTTTAATACTGAATTAGGCAGCAGGGAACAATAAATACAAAAGAATTACAATCACTGACTTCATAGATAGCTGCAGACTAATTTGCAGATTAAATATTAGTTTTGACGTTGATTAAAATGCATCAAATAGTTGCAAAGGGTTCTAAAGTGGTGGCGGAGGAATTTTATCCCAGAATCAGACATAGATCGTCTGTAGATGTATATTTTTAGTACAACATCTTTTAGGCGTTTTCGCCCAAATACCAACAACTCAATCCGTAACTGAACCATACACTTAACATTTGTCACCAAAAATGCAGAAAAAGGAACTCTACAGCCAATTTAACAGTCAGTCACTCTAAGTTTACTGAGCAGAGTATAGAAAACCTGCATTTGTAGGAGTGAAGAAGGAGTAATAAGAGGTTAACATAACGGCTAAACTGCCATCTGACAATTAAAACAGAGCCACATCTTAGTGTTATAATCCAGAGCCTGATTTGAACACATATACTCAGACATATATGGCACGGTTAAGAAACCTATACATGCTAACACTTTCAGGCTTTCACTTCCCTAAATGTAGCTTTGTGGTTGGATCAGAGAAAACCTATTTCGGGTATAGAAAATTTAAAGCTTTCTAGCCCTCCTGACAATTAGACACCTCTCCCTCAGACTGCTGGAACCACGGTGAAGCTGAAGTTTTAAAGAAACGAGTGAAGGTGCTGATTGAAACCAGACGACAAGGAGTTCAAAGCCTGGTGAAATTAAAGTCAGGCTTGAAAAGGAAATTAAGAGAAAGGTAGCGTGTATGACATCATCCACATAGCACCACTAAAACAACTTCATAGGTTATCCAACACATACAAAAATATCATTTCTATGATCAACTGAGAAGCTTAACCAGCAGACTGTCATCCCACATTTCATCTTGATCAGCATGATTAGAGACTACACCCTAACCCTGAGGTATCGGGAAGCCGTTCTCACATCTTCTAAGGGTGGGGACGCCACTAGCACAGCTGGATGTCGACTGGATACGTGCATCACCAAAGCTGAAATTTTTAAAATCGAACGGAAAAAGACCACAGGACTCAGTTTTCACACAGTAAACTCAAAGCTTAGCTAGCAAGATCATGTCTGTGGATTTTCCTACAAAATGCAGATGTACACCACCATGGCTTACGGTATTTCATTTTGTGTGTGTCTGTGTGTGTGTGTCTGTGTGTGTCTGTGTGTGTGTGGCAACTGTGCATGGTATTTCCTCAGCTGGATGCCCTGGCACAGTACTCATGTAATCACAGCTAGAGATACAGCAATAAACACACATGCAGCTTCAGGTAACATACACAGACAAACACACATGCCCATACATTATCTGATCAGTCAGGGCAGACGGGTGCGGCGTCTTGAGATAAGCTAAACATAAGCAAAACACTGGAAAAGTCTCCCTGTGCTCTCTAGAAATCCATGACGCATGATAAACACATCAATCATCCAAACTGCAGGGCAGACTGCAAAGATTAAATGTGGCGTTTTCCAGAATTTCCTGTCTGAGTTGATTAAAAGTGGCAGCTGTTGTCTCTCTTACCTTGACCCATAAAGGCTCCATGCAGGGCATCCTGGGCACTACCAAAGCCCAGTTCTCTGCACACCACACTTGCTGCAGTTCTTTCCCACATATGGTCCACAATGGTCCCCCATTTTCCATCTCGGAGCACCTCCACACGACCCTCGCCCAGCCTGGGGCCGGCCTTCAGACGTACAGGCTGTACAACAAAAAAAACACTTAGCTTACATACAGTTCATAAATAGTGTTATTAATCTTTGAAGGCCTGACTTTATGAAGCTTACCACAACTGGATAAGGGGCCTGGGGTCTTCCTGAGGAGATGCGAGCAAACTGAGGTCCTGCTACACATTTGACCACTGCATGTCTCCCGTTCTTACAAGGGGCCGGACTACGGGGGATTGACAGCTGAGCAAGGCACTCCGACAGGGAGTTCTCGATGCCTCGACAGTGAACTTTCTCTACCCAGAATCCTTTCTTCTTTGCCATGAGGCTCAGTCTGGAAAAAGGAGAATGTTTTTTGTGATGTATTCTTGATGCTTCATACAACTCGTTTTTTTTTTTTTTTTTTAGTATTGCTCTGAAACATTAAATATTAACGACTGAATAAGCAACAATAAGATATCAAGTTCAGAGAAAATCCAGCAGATTTGAATGACTGTGCATGCAATATAGACAAACAACCCTAAAACTTTCATCACATTGTCATGACTGTGTGAGTGCTGCTGAAGTTCAAGAGATTGCTGTTTTCCACCTGAGCTCTGTCCAAATGCAAAAATCCAACATAACATAGTCCGTTTGAACTGTAACAAAATCCGTTGTGTTGATGTAGTTTAAAGTGTTCTGCTATCCATTTCATAGGTGGAAGTTAGCATTCACAATATGCTCACAAGATTTTTTCATATGTAATGCTCAGCGTTGGCAGCCCAGTGTTTTAGGAAGTTCAATACCCCCTAGCTGACCCTCAGCACCTGTCCTTAAAGTATGTCTACATTCACCAGGTAACACTTGGTGTAAACAGCTTGATGCCTGCTGTGTGACTTTTTTGTGTGATTGGTTTGAGGACTAAATGTGTAACTTTTCATAATAAATACCCAAGTGCCCAATAAAGTACCCAAGACAGCTTACTCAGAGTTAAATGAGTATATTTTGGTTTTGGTTTGAAGCACATTTTAAAAACTTTTTTGTGATGTGTGCTATCAGGTAAACAAACCGTAAATCACATAGTTGATACTACTTTTGATTTGGATTCACAGACTGTTTAAATGAGGTTGAACTAACTCATCAGCTCTGCAAGTATCTTACTGCTGCTGTTATGAAATGAATATCGTCAAATATTTTTATCTTGGGGCTCTGTCTTAACCTTAATGTCTGCCTGTGTGGAAACCTTGTTTAGAAAGATGCATGTAGATAAAGTTATTATTATAAATATGGCAACATGAGGAAAAGTTGTATTTCATTACCTGGTTGAAGGATCTGCTATCTTGGTATCCCATATTTTCCTGTAAAACACCAAAAGAACAGACGGATGTTATCTCTTTTAAAAGATCTGCGTATTTGTTGAGGCTACAAACACACCACATCCTGTGAGGTTGATCTGGGCGAACAATTTCTCATGCAAGAAGCAGTGACTGTAGGATAAACTGTAGCACCTGCTGTCGGTTTTATATGAAACACGGCCCCCACAGTAGTTGTCTGCCACAGTAACGGCACAAACACGCCAAGTAAAGTCATTCGACATTGGTACTTTGTGATGACTGAAAATGGTTACAGCTCAGACACTGACTTTATCGCCGAGATGAATAATGCAGCTCCAAATAGAACATCTGTGTATAAAACCAGAATGAGCTGTGCGTGCGGCTTTGTGGTGAGGGTGAAGTGAGGTAAATCGACGGCGACAACTTGTGTAGCATTAGGAGGAATGTACTGTTCTTTTTCTCTTTTTACTAACTTCGCTTTCCGTCTCTCTCTTCCTTGCTTTATAGGATCAGTAGTATATTTCCATCTGGAATGTGGGCTGCTTGCTTTTTACTGTGTTTATGTTTAGAGTTAACGGCCAGTGTATCATATGTTCCTGAGCTGTAACAGCACTTCCTGTCACCAACATAAGGTTAAGTGTTCGACTGGAACCTGCAGCTGGCTAATTTTTATCTAAATAACCCACCTTTACATTAAGTCACATCATGTACTTGCTTTTCAAACTAGTTTGAACCCTTTGAAGTATAGGACATCTGCAAAGCTTGTTGCAATACTGTGCCAGGGTTTGTACATAACTACAGGATGTACAAGCTATAAAAGGATAAGAAAACACAATATATTTTCAACCAGATCGTTAACCTCTAAAGCCACACGCAGTCCAAAAAAATCATGACATTCAACATCAGTGATGTACAACATTTCTGGGAAAACATGGTTTGACCAAGCACGATACGCAAACAAAAAGTCTGGCACTAAGCTGCCATGCCCGAGAAATGCCAGAAGCAAAGAAAGATTTATGCAGCGAGTAGACAACTGACTGGAGGGAGCGCAGGAGAGGAAAGCCGGCTGTTCTCTTGGCTGACACATAAAGCAGAAATGCCACACAGACCATGCCAGGACATCCTCAAACCACTACAGAGGGCATGCAGCATCACCAACATTCACATCAATTACACTTAAACACTCAGAGAACCACACGCTACAGCCTGATATTACAAGGGGCCCATTATTGGCCAATATGTCCTTACAACAGATATTCTGTTGGAGCTATTTAGCTTCTGATTTCCCAAATATTCTAAGTAATCTTTACTACATTATTCAATGAAAATGGCAGATCAAATTGATCACATTTATCCAAAGGCTTTCTTATAATGTCTTCCAACATGCACACAACTCCTGAATATTTCCTGAAGTTTTTGGTGTGAGCTGCATTTGTGAACTTGAATCTTTTTTAACCCGACTTTGCTGGCTAACGATAATTTTAGCGAGGAAGCGGTTGAATGCTAACATTAGCTTTTGTCTGACTGTAGTGGGTTTTAAAATATGTCTTTAAACCTTGAGTTATGGTCTAATGTCCCTCCAGATTTTCTCTAGACTTCTTTCTTTACAGTTGCTGACCAAGTTAGAAAGCTGTGATAATGATTTGTAAAATTCCCGATAGATAAACAATTTATCATCTACAGTGGTCCAATAATTATTATTTGAGCGTACCAACGTAAAGTTGAAGTAATCAGCAAATCAGCTGGTGTGCTCTGTGAACAACAAAACACGCATATTTAATCTCTGTGTAGCTTTACGTCAGCATGGCATCAGCATATTCTTCTGGCTATATATGTGGCTACTGACAAGCAAACACAAAAAACCTCTTTCCTGACTCATGCAGATTTCAGTGGCACTGCCCTTTAACGAAAAAACACACCCGAGTATATTTGTAAGAAAAGTCAATATTTGAATTTCTGACATGGACTCCAAACGTTCCTGTAAAAGGTAAGGTCAGAAAATAACACAAACAAACTGCAGATGATGGAATCAAGAGAGGCATTGTCACTCACATGATGTGATGTGGAAGTTTGTTTGTGTGAAGTCATGGACTGCTGACTGAACAGTTTCCAAAGGTCATATAACAACCTGTTTCCTGAAGCTGTAAGTAGTCAATGGGCCAGAGGAGATGAGGACCTCCCATTTAAAATATTAGTTTGGTAGGTACTTTAATTCCAGAAAGCATCTATCAAATAGTGGCATGTTAACATTACAGATAATCATTTTGAATAAATTCTACTTTAATTTTTAAGAAAAAGTGCAGCTCATTGTAGACCAATAGAGTGCTAACATTACAAACATTTAGAAATAAAAACAGCCTAAGCAGCATGGCTCGCTAACTTTCAAATTGTCCAACATTAGACCTAAGGCAGAAAAATCCTTTAAACCACATTCATCGCTCTTAAAAAAGCTGCATGTCATGTCACGAGACTTGCTGTAAACTGTGACTCACACATTGTATAGAATTTAGCACTTATATTTTACAGTGTCTTGTAAAACCTCTTAAATGTGTCTACCATGTGGCTCTGCAGTAGCATGTCATCCGTCAGAGACACTGAGAAACATGCACATTCACCCTAAATTACCCATGATGTGGCAAACATGTCTGTGAAATGTTTGTGATCTCACTACAGTCTGTGGGCCAGCCATGTTCACGATTCCAAACAACAACTAGACTAAACAATCTTTAAACTGTACCCTAGGCCCTTCCTTTGGCTGGCTTATAGCACAGCTTTAAGACCTTCGATTCATATATGAACAATAACTGTAAATGTAGTTTGAGAAGTAAAAACTGTGTTGCTGATACATCAGTAATAGAAGTGTTGCTTTGCTTAGCTCAACAGTGTATGCAGCACTTGTTGATGAGCCAACAGAGCAGAGTCTAATGATAGGGAGTCCCACCCGCCTGTTAAAGACGAGCATTACACCACTGTTTGGATTTCATAACCCTCGCACTGCTCACTGGCTTTACAACTATGGCTACTCGTTTGGATTTTAAAGCAAAAACCAAACAGTGTTTTGTTTAATATAAAACTCTTGTTAACTTGTTTTAAAAGTCAGTAATGCAAGAATCAAGTTGCAAATCAAATATAAATGCAATGACAAAAAAAAAAAAAAAAAAAAAAAGCTTTTGTTATTTTGTGATCACTTTAGATAACGGTTAAATCAGCTTCACTTTGCACTTATTTCCATTTGTGCTGATAAAATGCTGTGAAAAGAATCAGCTTTACTGGTCAGGTATGTAAATGATGCATACAAGGAATTTGACTTCTTTTTTTTACGTTGCTCTTAATGTTTGAACATTTAAGCATTTAAGGAAAAGACGATAAACTACATAACACAAGACGAGTAGCACAATGAAGAGAAAGGAAGCTGCAATAAACAAGATTAAATAGCTTATATAGTTTGCTTTGTAGCCCAGGGGTAGATGGGTTTGTAGAATTCAAAGTATTCTAACAGAGCTCTGATGCAGTGAATATAGCTCCTTCTTGCATCAGAAAACACAACTTTTAGATGTTGGTACTCATTTTGGGAATGAGTGTGGGCAAAACCTAGATGTGTTGACCCTTGTATACCAAACACAAGGAAGCCAACATGTGGCATTTTAAAGTGTTTTAATTTGGCATTACTTTGAGTATCGATGAAAAGGATCTTGCATGTGAAACAGTCTTTAAATATTCCCGTGCAGACCAGAGTGAGCTGATAGGAATCACTTTCCTTGCACTTAGTTTTGCCAGTCGGCCTTCACATTTAAAATAGCCGCCGTCCTGCATACAGAAATTAAAAGATGGTGAAATAAATTAGAGGGAAGGTCATTTGGGAAGATCACACAGACATCAGACAGGAAAACCAGACTCGGTCACATAAAATGTCACTCGAAAGCCTGAAAATAATACCCTCATCATAAGGAAATTTTGTCTGGAACATAATTAAACATAAAATGTTGGTTAAGTCTCCAAATCACTACGGTGACAGAGAAAGACAGACAGCTGCTGACACAGCTGCAAACCGCTGCAAACTGCCGCTGTAATTGGACATATTTCACACGAGCAAGCGAAAACCTGGCCTGTCTGACTTCAGTTCTTGTTCTTTCTCCCCATCTCCTCTTTCTCTTGCTACTTTCTTCCTCCACCTTCCTCACCATCTATGTCCTATACTCTCGCACACACACACACAAAGCTATAATTGGGGGTGTTTTTTCACCCTCAGCAGAAACCCCGTAGAGCCTTGGTCATGACCAACCTGTAATTAAAGCCTCTTCAGAGTCTCATCCAAGAGACACAGGGAGCCCAGAGACATGGTACGGTCCAGATTTTCTAAGAATGGACTGAGAGAGTCCAGGAGGGGAGTGTCACAGACTATATTTGGTCAAACCATACAATCCATCCTAACCTTTCCTGTCAACTGTTTTAGATGTTGCATAAACTGCACATCTGATTGTCTCAAAACCAATTGTTTAGCTGTGACTCTGCTCACATTTTGTAATCTTAATTACAGTGGCAAATTTTGTCAGAGTGCAATCCTTACAATTACGTCTAAGTCAAGGCTGCAACAGCACAACCTGTATTTCAATTGCTGCACCGTCTGTTTGATGAAAACATTCTAATAAAATAACACACATAAGGCTTTATATTTTCTGCAAAATAACTCTAGTTAATCACATGAATGCATGTGTACACTTTGAACCAGTTTGAAGTAGAAAAACACACACCTACACATCAAGAGAAAACATATATGTGTGGAGACAGAAAACAGGTACAGATTGAAAAACAAACATCCTGGTGGTTTGGATGAGCATGGCGCCTGAGATACAGCAAAACATCAGGTCAAACCCAGGACAGGCAGACCAAGCTATATCAAGTCATGACCGCGACAATAAAAAGTGTACACAATTCCATATGTTGCCCAATTACACTGTACATTTAGCTGCACAAGTGTTGGATAAACAGTTTTTTCCACTTTGATGTGGCTTGGGTCGAAAACCAAAATAACTTATGTAGTGTTATTCTGTCTTTTCTTTGACCTTAAAGGGAGATTTAAACAACAATATCCTGAAACAGCCAGTGAGCAGATTCACTGCAGGCTTCACTCCAAGCCCTTCAAGCTACAGCAGCCCCGATCCCCTCAATCATATTTCATTTCTTGGTGAGCAGCCAAATCTCTTATGTTGCAGCCATACAATTCCTCCAATCTATTTCCTCCCTCAACTAATACTTTTTCTTCTCATCTCCTGTTCTTTGCATTAAGTGGTGAATCTGTGCAGCCACAGAAAATCACAGAGAGCCATGCAATGCATCACACCTGCAATGCGGGGAAGCTCTGCTCCAATAAAAGATCCTGTAGAGTCGTGTACAGTCAGGCTGTTCAACGACACCTCATTCAGAGGACCTTTTATTACTGAAGATATGACGCCTGGTGATGCCCTGCTCCAACAACAGAATCAAGTGATAGTGTCACAGTGTTCCCAATAATGCAGAGTTCAGACAGAAAAGCTTAAGTCAAGGGCAATGTAAAAATACTTCCAGTCAGCGAGTGTGCTGCAATAGATTATTTGTAAAATGAATAAAAAGTAAGAAAAGTCAAGAAAATTCACAAGTGACCCTTTCATCAGTTACAGAAGCACAAGAAATCCAGCGCTTACTGAACTGAGCAGATGTTGCAGTGTGTCATTGGTTGAGTCAGAAAAGCCTCGCCAAAAAAAGAAAAAGAATAGTTAGACTGTGAATCACCTAGAACCGGCAGCAGTCCAGAACTAGGATCCAGCTGGGTCCCCCTGCTACTGAGGGCAGCAAACGGTCAGACACTGTTCATTCCTATAATAACAATGTACTTATTCTCCACTAATGTGTGGTCCTCCTGTGGTTTGAGAGCAGAACCATCCCAAAAACCACTGACATTTTTTTTTTTGTAAGTGGGAGGAGAGGAACTGTACATCAATGTCAAAGGGGCAAAAGTAACCAAATAAATCCGATGCATTAATGAACATGACTTATTACAAAAGTGTCAACATGAGCGTATGCACATTTCCACTTCTGGGCTGGGTTTCAATACCAAACAGTTTAAAAAAGGAACTGTCCTAATATATTCAATCACTTCTTTTTTGAAAGTTAAAAGTGTAGACGCATACAATTGTGTTAAAATGAGTTAACACCCTTTAGTGCAGGATAAGTCATTTGACATATGTGACATTTTAGAGGAAGAAAAATTAGTTATTTTGATGTAAAAATACTCAGATAATGTTTTATTGAAATATATTTGGCAGATAGTGGCAAATAAAGGAACATTTAACACGAGTGCTTCATTAAAACCAGGAAAATGTCTCATTTCATGGGGAAATTTAACAATACTTTATCATGCGAATAAATTAAACAGCTGAATTTGAGAGGATTTACTATATTTTATGAGGCGCCAGTAGCGTACTGGTTAGTGCGCGGGCCCCAGAGAGAGGCTATGGTCCTCCAAGTGGGTGGCCCAGGTTTGAATCCAACTCATGGCTCCTTTCCCGCATGTTGCTCCCCACTCTCACTTTCCCTAATTTTCAATTCTATTCACCTGTCCTGTCTAAAGAGTAAAGGCCCAAAAAGCCCCAAAATAAATCTTAAAAAAAGAGATTTACTGAATTTGTGTGCAACATATTGAGCATAATTCTTTGTGAAGACAGATATTCTTGTTTAATTGGTCCTTAGACTTGACTCCTAAGTGATTTCTTTGGTAACAGAATAAAAAAATACCAATGATATTCACCCCAAGTGCGCAGCCACACACACACAGGTGGAGGGGGATGTAAAAGTGAAGAGATGCATGGCTGACTCAGGCCTACTAAGACTTTCCTGCCAATAAGACAAGTCGCCTCAGAAAGACCCTTATACCAGCTCTGCAGTAGCTGCCTCTGTCTCACTCATGGTATTGATGGGAGAGTTAAAGCACAATCAGCGCTGATATTACAGCTCAGCGTGAGAATCTAAAAGTTAAAGTGGGGCTGTTTGTCTGAGAGCTGCAGGCTGAAGATAGCATCGGGGAGAGACGGGGAGGGAGAGTGAGAGAGAGGTAATGAGGTGAGCAGAGGTGATTTGACTAGAGAGGGGTGTAGAGAAAGGGCAGTAGAGAGGGGACAGGGATCTCTTTATCATCATCCTGAGGCTGAAGAGGGGAGTGGGGGAGTAAAGAGGGACACAGGGAAGAAGTGGCTGGAGGAGGGAGATAAGGCCAAAAAGGCCTTTACTCAAAGTGGTTTTAAATAGGATGCCTCTGTTGTTGGTTTAGTTGTTCTCAGGATTTGTTTTATTCACTTAACAATGGGATGAATGGCATAGCATGGCGCCCTTCTGAACTTCAGGCAACGGCTCTGTGGTTTTTTTTTTAATATTAAAAGGTGAGTTGTGCAGCAGGAAAGATTTATACTCACTTGTATGTTTTGACATTGTGCTGAGTGGCCTCTGGGAAGCCGAGCATCCCACACACAACCCGGCTGCTGTTGAGACTCCAACCCAGGTCACAAACTTGCCTCCATCTCCCAGCGTGCTTTACTTCCACCACACCCTCTGTTACCAGGTTGCTCTTCTTGGTAGCCATGAGGATTGGACGAAGGCGCACCTCCTCAATTTGCACCTTGCCACGACCCTATGGACAAGATACGTGTCATTTCTATTGTTACATAACTTTCTTAGAAAAACATTGAGCCGTGTCAGCAGTGATAAACTGATACCTGATAGTGGTGTCGTTGGTATCTTGGAATCTCATATTGATGTCCATTTCCATAATAGCCATAGCCTGGATGCCTCCGGGTGGTCACTTGGCCCTGCCACTGAGGTGCAGGGCTGTTATTGGACCTGGTGATGGCGGTGTAGTCTCTGCTTGCCGTCTGGTCCAGCCTGCGCTCAGAGGTGCACACCACCCCCAAGTCTTCACTGTGTTTACAGTCATTCACCCCCCAACCATTGTGTTTGCAATCCTTCAGGGACTTCTCTGAGCCGTCACAGCGTACATTATCCATCCATATTGGGCCTTGTGAAAGGATAAACAATTCATTTATTGTGATTTTCATTGATTGTTCAATAGACAAGCTTGGCAATGCATCTATACCGGGGCCCAAATCAGTTCCTAAACACCTAACACTTGACTTTTACAGGCACACTGATTTAGGGTTGCACCTAAGCAGCGTGTTTAGCTGTAGATACACAGTATTTTACAAGGCAGGGCACTATAGATCCTGCTCCTTGAATCCACTCAACCCTCTCTTTAATTTGGATTTAAAAGCAGCAGTAAAGAAGGTCCATAAACCACAGCAAGTGTTGCACAACTCTGGCAAACCAATGCTGTCATTATTCTGACAGAAATGCCCTCTTTTGCCCCATATATTTGTTCTGCGAGCCTGCCAGGCGACCTTAATGAGATTGAGACTCCGAAACCCACAACAACTTATCGTTGTCACTTTATGATATTTGTTATTTTGGATGTCTTAATTGGAAGACTTTTCATGAAGCCATATGCTTAGCTTGTTGTGGGACAGCCAAACTATTCACCATATTCTCATAGCAGCAATTTGGCTCTGATATCAGGCTCAGGTTAAATAGCTATAATGCTGTAATAATGTCCATATACTGTGTTCCAGGTTATCAATTGCATAAATTATGAGATTATTCAATAGCCACTGGAAAGATAGTGGAAAATGAATATCCAAAAACAGCAATATATTAAGGGAAAACAACATATAACCTCTAAAATTTGCTAAAAATTTAAAGTTTGATTGTATTACACAAAATAGGATAGACATACATCCCCTGACAATGGTGTTATTCATCACGAGGTCTAGAAATCGGGCCACATTTAAGATAAATCAAGATATTTGCCTATGCATTAGGTTCTTTGCCCCATAGTTTGTGTAAATATTCAGCCACTTCCAAGCTAAATATGAAAAAGTTTCACAACAGAATGGCTGAATGCTTACATTGGGCCTACTTGTTGCCTAAAGCTAGGCTGTTGTATTAACCTAAGATATGTCCGGGTTTCTTTACAGATTTTTACTGTAGTTTATCTACACAGTTGCTGATTCATACAGAAGTGACGAAAAAAGTACATCATTTATCAGAATGCTAATATTTATGCAAGTTTACAAACTGAAACACATCAGTAGTCTACCACATTAGTTCAGCGTTGTAGCTTCCCAACCCTGAGTAGGACATTAATGCAAAAGTGGTCTGACTCCTGTGGGAACTCACATATGAAAGTGTCCCAAACCTGATTTGAAAAGATCAGATTCCATGTGACTTGTGCTGTTCACACTGTCGTAAAAAATAATAATCAGATTAAAGTTACATAAGAATAAAAACCAATGAAATTCAGGTCACTTTTGGCTGCAGTGTGAACACAAATTGAGACTTGTGATGGCCAGAAAACAATTGGTAAGGGATGGCTCTGTTCCAATAAGGTATATCTGTAAGCCATCAGTAAGAGAGAGGCAGAGGCAGGACTTTTAAAAATCTAGAAAAGCTCAAATGAAGCCCCTGTCAATATTATAAATTGAATACACCTGTGTCTTCCTACTCAAGATTTGAAGGTCTATCATAGTTTGTTATTTAACTCACTTCCAGTGGTTTGGCTAAAATACAATGGTTGACCTTTGACATCAGTAAACAGACCCCAAGTGGCTCGTTGTGACATAATACCCGATGTGTTCTCACCCTGTCCTTCTCCATACTTGGCGCTGTGTGCCCACGTTATACCACCCTGGAAGCCCAACTCTCGGCACACAACGTTGGCAAGTTTGATGTCCACTTCATCATCGCAGATGGTCCCCCAGGTGTTGTTGTGCAGCACCTCCACGCGCCCTTCGTGAGCCTCTCGCGCATAGTTGCCCGCCAAACGCACCTTGGCGGCAGGTGCGCGAGGCGTCCTGAGCTGAGAGGACGTCGTGCGCTGATGGGACGTCGTGAGCTGAGAGGACGTCGTGCGCTGGGAGGACGTCGTGCGCTGTGGGGACGTCGTGCGCTGGGAGGACGTCGTGCGCTGTGGGGACGTCGTGCGCTGTGGGGACGTCGTGCGCTGCGAGGACGTCGTGCGCTGGGGTTCAGCGCCAGCGGGGGAGGAGAGGGAGAGCAGCAGGAGGAAGATGAGGGAGCTCAAGCAGAGGGTGCGGGTCATCGTGACAGAGAGGAGGGGGCCTGCAGGTAAAGGTGTGACACACGCATGATTCAATATAACTATTTTATAAAATTAACTTGAGTTTTTGAGTTACACTGACAAGTGGAGTTGTTTGACTGGTTTCTCAATTAGCCATGCAATTAGTTAAAAGCGAAATGAACCTTTCTCTGTCTTGAGAAACCTTTCCATCACTTTTAGATACATCTTGACACTGAAACGACCGTAAATGAACACTGTAACTGTAACTTTCTTCACACAAGGGAGCCAGCGCAGCCTGGTTATAAAACAGACCAATGGTGACATCCTCTGGACAAAAATGTTCAGGTAGTCTTCTCAAAACCACTGGTATGCACTAAACTGTTATTAAAAGATAACTGAGCTGAGGCAATTACCATTGCTTGCATAGCTTACAGTAAGACAGATGAGACATTTGTATGTTTCCACATTTGATTTGAGTCACTTATGCAGCATCAATCCTTGCAGTGATGCAATGGAAGCCAAAACGCATAAAAAATGAATACTCATGTCAAACGCAGGCATATAATTAGAAATACACAAGCACATTGCATTTACTGTGTATTGCAATTCACATGAATTAAGATTCCCCAAGGCTAACTAACCAGACAGCAGCACAAGGCAGGTTGTTGGAGGTTAACAAGTAACACAGCCAGGCATAAAAAGCAGGATTATAGGCAACCACTGCAGGCCACAGGACAACAGCAAACCCAGACGCACAAAGTCCATGTGATGCTTTGATGATGAAATTATAAAGGAGCAAACCAACAAAAAGCAAACAGACTTTGAAGACAACCTTAAGTGAATCATAGTGACAAAAGTGTGACTTGTCCTGTATAAAACTTTTAGCCTGCTTCTTCATATTGTGTCGGATTAAAAAAGTAAAAGGATAAAATATTTCCTCTCACATTTTGTAGTTTTAACAAACTAACTCGTTCATTCATCCAATGAAAGCGAATATCCAGAGGAGAGAAAGCATCTCAACCCTTAAAACACCTGTTACTCAAGATGCAAATATATAAATAAGGAATCAAAAATAGCTGTGGAATCAAGTGAAATAAAGATACTTTTTCCTTTAAGAAAAAAAATCAAAGTATAAGCTAAGGTGAAAGTTCACTCACCTGGCAGGCAGCAAATGTTTGCAGTGCTGGACGTCACTGGATAGGGGAGAGTGACTGAGTGAAGGAGTGTGTGAACTAAATGCTCTCCTTAGTCAATCCTCCCTTATTCCCTCCTTCTCCCAACATCCCTCCCTGCCTCCCTCCCTCCCTCCCTCCTTCCCTCCCGCACGTGCTCTCTTCCCTCTGGGTATCTTTCTCACATATAGCAGTCTTGAAATGAAAATGCTCACATGTAAAGCATATGCACCCCAACTGTCTGTGTAACACTCCAACACTGTACCTAATAAACTAAATAATATCAAGATAATGGAACATTTAGATAACATTTGTGAAGATTGTGGCTGAATACTTTTAAGCTTACTACCTCTGAAATTGATTAAGGTAGCCTACAGTCATTACTTGAAGATAAATCAATGAGTTGATAACTGCAGCATGTACATGACTTTGTAGTCATAAAGAATCACATTTCCAGGTGCTTTTCTCTGATTGGGCTTCTTTCCACGTCTCCTCTCCTATAGGCTGACGATGCTTTACACAACTTCGCACTCAGAGCGTTGCACAACTTCAGTGTGAACGTGTGTAAACGTAACCCACAGGAAAGACTCTGGTTCCAGAATAGTTTCAAACATCAAGTTCCAAGTGTCTTAAAGAAGCTCCCTATACCGCAGGGTAGATATTTCCTTGTTGAGACGGCCGCAAACCACCAGCTCTAAAAAAAGGCCCGGCCTCACCGTAGGTTTTGGGGATGTAAGTGATGAGAATATGCCTCACCACCCCTGCCCAGGAGAAGGTTATATAGTCTAACCTGTTATCATGGTATAGAAAGCATAATGATTTAATTTACAGTGCACATGTCGATAAAAACGAGGGAACATTTTTTACTCTTGCTATAGCTGGGGTCACTTCAGTGCTCAGTCCTGATCTGACTTACGTCTCCTCCACTTTTAGACACGTTTTAACATGTTTATTTGTTTTTTGAATCATTTCTGGAGTGTGCGAGACAAAATTAGAAACATGGAAATGTTTGGACTCAGGGTGTTGTGTTGATAATCTCTATTTCAGTTTTTTAAGCAAACCTCAGAGGGCACCTTTTCTGAGGCAGCCAGGTTTATTCATAGACGTGAAAAATTACAATCATGACAGGGGAGGTAGGAACTGAAACATCAACCGCGACCGTAAAAACACTAACTCGTATGAAGAGTTCCAGCAGGGTAAAGAAAGAAGAAAAAATCAGACGTTACATATGTGTGTGTAGTTGTGTGCACACATGTTCACTTTGAAGCTGTAATTGAGAAGTTTGTGTGTGCCAATGATGGTGCGACTGGGTGGCAGGATGGTGGTCCCTCCCTGGCTGGTGAAACCAAACAGGAAGAGCAGACCCCGTATTAGCGGGGCCAAATCAGAGGGATCTCCAAGGACGACAGGGAAAGGAATGAGAGATGTAAAAAAGAAAAGGGAAAGGAAAAAGAGGGTTAAAACTATCCTGGCCTTGTGTGACATCCTTCCATTATAACTTGTTATTCACTGTTGCATATTAGTCTAATCAAACTACACACAGGTGTCTCTGCTTGAGCGCCCGTACTGAATAGCCAAGTGTGCGTGTGTGTGTGTGTGTGTGTGCCAGAGAGTGTGTTACAGGTCTCTCAGAGAATTCATGGGGTAAGAGTATGTAAGCGCAGCAGCTCTCTGTGGCAGATCCCTCACTCTCTCTCTCTCTCTCTCTTCAGCTCTCTAATTACGCAGACCGAACTGGCTCTGCCCTTACCCACAATCTGTGGAGGCATGAAATAAATACATGCTCTCCAACAATAAACAAGTGCCTTTTGAAATGACAGCACCTCCTCGAGCTCGCCCCCACTGCTGCTGCTCTCTAGGCTTTAATAATGCTTTTACTTTCATTTCTAGCTGTCGGCGCATGTAGGCATGTACAGTGTGGAGGATATGGTGTATACGTTTACGTTAGAGATTCATCTCAGTAGAAATTGCTTCAGAGCTGTGTTTGCTTCATCCTCAAGTTGGATAAAAAATTCCACTGTCTTTTAAGCATTTAAAATAGGCTTCATTTACAAGGACCACACCATTAACTGGATGCAGTTTGACAGTTATTTCTTGATCATATTGATATGTTGGTTCTCAATCAGTTGTGGGAAACCTCTTAGCCTCAGGGGATCCGCTGTAGCTCCCTGGCCTCTTCAGGGCTCCATGGAAAGGAGGAAAGAGAGATATGGGGAGAAGGGGGGGGTGGGGATGTGCCGAATGTGAGAACAAAAGGGGAGGAGAGGGTTATGTTTAGGTTTTAATGGGAATGTCAGGAGAGGCGTGGTTGAGGTGTGGTCCTGCTCCTGAAACTTTGCTATAAAGCATCACTTCATTTATATGAGCATGAAACGAACCTATAGCTATTTGCAGCTACATAGTGCCTTCTCATGTCCGGACACATTTTCATCAAGTCTGATTCAGGTTGGGTTAATCACAACTGTTTATATCACGTGGTGACTTCGATACAGTGATTGATGGTGTACATCATCAGTCACTCATCGAATCGAATTTTAGACGGCACCCATTTTGCTCTGATTTCCCTCACTTGGACTAGAAGCTCAAAAGCTGGTTTAATGTCATGCTGCTATGTTCCATCAGTGACATAAACATTACATCATTATTATGTAAATGTTTGTGAACAATCAGCAACTTAAAAAAACAATGCATGATTAAAATCAAGTAGTGCATTGTTAAAAATCAAACAATCAAGTCAAACATTTTATTCCTGGCTATTGCTACTGTTCGATAGTATTGCTCTGGACATTTGCCTTTATTAGACAGGGCAGCTGAAGAGAGACGGGAAGAGTTGGGAGGAGAAAGCGGGGGATGACATGCAGCGAAGGGCCAAGGTTAGATTTGAATCCACAGCCGAATGCGACGAGGACTACAGCCTCCGTACATAGAGCATGCAGCATAAATGCTTGGCTATCCAGCACCCTGCACAGCATTTATATTGGTTTGTTGAAAATGATTTAAAAAAAAGTGAAATCAGCTGCTGCTTTAAATCAGTAGCTTTTGCCTGTATGCCTGTATAAATGTGTAGAGATTTCAGTCACCAGTATAAATCCAGCTTTCTATCAACTTTCATACTAAATGCTAGTTCTGATCTGTGGAGTGCCACTTCAAGTTTTCAGCATTCTCACACTTGCATGTACAGTAGTTCTCATGTATCCACAGATGGCATCAGGCTTTAGTCCATCTCTGCTCTAAACATATGTGGCATGATGGTTGATTTTCCCACACTGTCCCAGGACAGCTAGTCGTTTCTCCGTCCTCAACTGGTCTGGGCGGATACCGCTTCCCTGATGCATCTTCTGTGCTGGCCACACAAGTGTCTCCTGTCAGTGGTGACAGAGTTACCATATTTCCCCCCACACCAGTCTGGCCCACTTTGATTTACTTCTTCAGGGGTTTGAGCATCAGGAAAGACTTAAGAGGAAAGTGTAAGTTACTGGGGATTAAAAAAAAAAAAGACACGTCTATGCTTTGCATAGGCTGGTTCAGTTAGGGTCATGTTTAAGGTACAAATCATTCATGTGCAACACTGCCGCCTTGTGGAAGCCAAGGAAACAACCAATGATGTCACAAAATTCATTTTTATGAAATCTTAGCAGAACACCTGCATGCCTCAGACACTTTTCCTCAGTTTGTGCCAAATATCTTGTGGAAACTCATAAATAGGTGGTTCAAATATATTTATTAAATACAAAAGATTTTTTTTGCAGTGCAGTAACGACGGTATTAAAAATATTTGGAAGATTAACAGGATTGCAGTGCTCGTTCTTGAAGTTGACATCAAAATTAAAAATGCATTTCCTGAAACAGTTTGAAAAAAAAGGTACAAACAGGTAGGACTTAAACATACCAAGAAAATAAAAATGTTACTCAGGGAAAACCTTTTATAACTTTTAAAATAACTTTAAGATGAAATCTAAATGTGAAATGGTAAAATCCTACACATTTAATTAGTTTGCATGCCTAAATGAACTGAGCAACAACAGTAAACAGCACCAGTCATACGCTGACTTACCCCACAAGTGCTGTCCAATTCCTTTTTCACATGTTTTTGCAACGAGACAGAAAGTGATTGCGAGAAAAGTAGAAGTGCAGCAGGGGAAAGTGATGCTGGCTTCTTAATGCCAGAAAGAAAGCCCAAGAGTGGACTTGTAGAAATATGTTTCTTTCACCTTCTATAAAGTGTAGAGACAAAAAGACCAGTAAATTAAGGTACGTTTGTTGTAAAAAAACAAAAAAAAACAAAGGCATAAATAGGAAAATAAATAATCACTATGTTGTATATGGTTTGCAAGTGAACGTAGTGTGGACTTAAACCAGGGGTGGGCACTGTAATTATTTTTATCTAGATGATGATACAGACACTTGAGTTTGAACCGTCTAGTGTTGAACTTAAAAGAACTAAGAGGTTTCAGTGCAGAGCAATTAGATGAAGCATTCTTTGGTTCATTGAAATACTGAAATATAGACCCCATAACAATGTCAAACACTGACTCACGAGGTTCAAAAGTTCTTTGGACCTTTAAAGCTCCTGGGAGGAAATTATAGCTAGTTATAAAACTGAATTAAATTAATACTGATGTCTTTTAATGAGCTACAACAAAAAAAACAAGACTATCAGCTACAAGACTTATAATTTCTACATCGTTATTTAAGATTCTCAATGAGTGAAACATTTGACTGTTAAAAAGAAAAAAGGGTCAGATTTTTCATCAGAAAACAAAACCTTCACAAATAAAAGACTTCTTTTCCACAATGAATGCACGAACTCAAAAGTTCCTCACAGGAGCTTAAAGCATCATGACGCACTTGGTCATGAATGTGTGTGTGTGTGTGCGCGCGTGTGTGTGTCTGAGGATGGCGTTTTCTAAGGCACTGTCCTGTAGTATCAACAAGTTTACCACTTACATTACCATATGGGTCTTACATACAAACAAACAAACCAGACAACTTCGGCCCGAGTCTGCATTTTTTTGTTCTTTGCATAGACTCAAAGCGCTGCGATGTCTACCATGCAAATGTACCAGGAAATCCTTTTGCATATTCTTATTCTGAGGAAGAGATTGAAGCTTTTCTTCTGCTTTGGGCACGAGGATCAGAGCCGCAACTGGCTCTCCTATGGTTTACAGGGCTGACGATATTCTCACCTGACATTTCAATCAATCAATCGATCAAAAAAATAAATAAAGAAATGGCACAGAATAAAACCATTCATCTCAGAAACATCCCAAACTGATAACATGTAGATCGATTTAAGCCGTTTTAAAAAACGTAAATGTCATGTTGCTGTTAATTTCGGGATGAACAATGATTTGTGATGGAACTTCTAAAGAAGGATCGTCACCACAAATGTCACTGATGAACCTTGGCTTTTCATTACTGCTGTGAGTGAAATCAGTCACTGCTTTTTCCTTAGAAAGAGGACCAAGGCAGTTTTACTTCCTCGTTGTGGTGTAGGACTGTGAGGTTAGTTTGTATCCCTTCAAGAAGGAATGGGTCACCGTTTGCACAGAAGGGTTACAATACAAAGCAGAAAACCAGCAGGATTTGTTCTGCCCTCTGGTGAATGTTGTACTTTAAAGCAATATAGTTTAGTTTCCGGTTAAAATCAAAACCTTCATACTCCAAGTCCTTTGTTGCATGCGAGTGACTATCCCTGCCTTGGAGCCAGAGTTTTGGCTCTGATCCTTGAACTATTCTGGTCCATTTCACTACAATACATTTTTTTTTAGCCTAGAGAAATTGGTCCAGCAAGTGCCGGCTCCTTTGGCTCAGTCTGTGGGTCCAAGTTTCCTGCACAACACTGGGGCGGAGAGTAAGTAGAGTTCAAGGCTGCCAGGGCTTCCTGTCCTTGCCTTTCTGATCAGGAATGTGCTTGTAGCGACACTTATCCCCAAAATGGCAGCCGGTGGTTCTCCAGAAGTAACACTCGTCTCCGTTCACTGGGCCACGTCGTCGAGGTCTGAGCAGAGAAAGCGTTTGAAGTGTCACAGCTATTACCCTTCCAATAATGAAAAGTATGATTAATGGGTCGAGACTTAATGTTTCTAAAGAGTGCTTCTTACCCTGCAGCCGCCCCTGCCTGCTGTGTGACGGGCAGACAGGTCTTGAGCGGAGTAGGAAGGACTTTCTGAGTGCGCCGGTCAGGATAGCGCACCACTAAACGTGTGTTCTCAACACAAAAACCCTGTGAGAAAAGTCACATCCTTCCATTACAACGTTTATTAAAAGGAGACACGGTCAAGAGGAGACTAAATGAGTAGGGCTGCAACCGGTGAATCTGTCAGGTATTTTTAAGATCAACCGTTTAAAGTGTTTAGTCCTCAAAATGACAAAATATAAGGAAACTCCTCCTGAGAATTTCCTTATATTTTGTTTTCCAATTGCTTCTTTTTCCCAATCCACATTCAGTATCATAGCAAAAAAGTGACACAAGAAAAGCAGAAAATTCTTACATTTAGGAAGCTGGAACCAGAGACTATTTGACAATTTTGCTTGAAAAACTAAGAATGATTGATCTACTATCAAACACCTTTTCTTTTTTAATTGCTCCACAAATCACAGCTCCACAAATGAGTACTCACATTTAGTTTCTCCATGGCACGTGCAGCCATGTTTGCATTCTTGAAGTTTACAAAGGCACAAAATCTCTCATGCAGCACACGGATACTCTCAATCTCACCGTACCTACAATGCAAAGCAAACAACAGAAAAGTCAATAACTACCTTGGTTAAATATTACTTCACTGTCCCCACAGGTACAAAAAAGGGTTTGCTGGGAATGAATTAGGAACATTTTGCCTACAAAAAGTGACTTTAAGTCATCAAGTCTTACATTTTAAAAAGGTCCCGTAGATGTTTCTCAGTTAGCTCCGTCGTCACATTTCCAACCCACAAAGACGGGCAGGGACTTCTGAAGGACAGAGAAGAATGACAATTAAAGCAATAAAACTACAGTTCTGATCCATCATTTGTTGAATTGCTCCAAATAACCACACGACCAACTACAAGCCCATATGACCCTTGCTTATTTCAGACAAACAATGGTCACCTACCCTGGTTGCACAATTGACGAATCTTGGCTCACAGCTGCAAGAAAAAGGCATTTTCATTCATAAAATCCAAAGCACAGAGCTGTATGCGTTACAAAGAGAACATGCAGGCCCTCCTTATGAAATGTGAACACGTCAACTTACCTCTGGCGACGTCAGAAGATGCCAGAGCAGCTTGTACAGTTGAAAACTTCTCCAGCAGCAGGACACTTTGCCCTTCGTCAAAACCAAGCTCCTGAGGAAAGACATGAGATAAATAAAAAGTTAGTCATGAATAATACATTTTAGTTTCATGTCAAGATGACTTGTCTAACATTGTTGCTTAAAAATGAAAGGCTCAGAGGAAGTTCTGGTTGTTTTCATTCACAGCTACGCCCACAGGAAACACCTTGGCTGTTCTTATTTGCGGGTTTACCATTAACTGCAGCACTTTACAGTCAAAGAGGTCAATGACAGCCTCCTCACAGTCTTTATCCAGTTTGAGCACCTGCTCCATGGCTTTCTCTGCCTCACTGTACCGCTGAAAACACAAAGACCCACAGTAATGAGTTAAAGAAGGAAAATTTTAAATCACAGGCTTTAGTATGAGAACGTTATTTTATTACATGCTACATCCCACGGTCGCAGCAACCTGTTCCTACCTTCATGCCCATGAGAGCACTGCCCTTCCGGAAGTATCCTTTGGGCCAGTCTGGGGCCAGCTGAAGGGAGCGCTCAGCATCTGCCAGGGCCTGAGGGTACTGCTCCAGGCAGAAGTAGCAATAGGAACGATTCCCAAAGAACCTGAGGGATGGGATCAACAAATGCAAAACACAATGATCTATGTGTCATCAATGTTTGAACTCACTTTGTTATAGAGTAGTCATGACATACCTGTTATCCTTTGGGTCACATTTGATGGCTTCTGTAAACATACTGACGGCTTGTGCGTACTGCCCCTCCTGCACCAGCTTGATCCCTTTTTCTGCTAGAGACAAAAAGCTTGTAAATAACTCTCTGGTGAGTCAGGCCCCTGGAGGGCTGCCTAACATGCTTGTACAAAGCTACGTGTAATCAATAATTTACTCTGAAAGGGATTTGATTGTTTTTCAATGAATAACATGCAAATGAAAAGGTTGTTTACAAACATCGCTGTGCAGGAATTCTTTCTCACCTGTCAGTGAGGCGCTCTTCTTGTTCATGGTGTCAGTTCCATTAGTCTGTAAGAATAAATAACAGATTCATTACACTTCATGCTGTGAAGATGCAGCAGATCATTCAGTTCTGAGCACTCTTGAA